TCTCTCTCTCTCTCTCTCTCTCTCTCTCTCTCTCCTTAAAAAAAAATGTGTTGGGCAGAGGAATCATGTTCTGGATGTTCCCTCCCCTCTTATTGTGATCTTGGACCTTACAGGTCCCCAGTCCCTCCTCCCATCCGTTTGGACATAGCACTGAGGTCAGCAAAACAAATTTGGTTAAGGTTTGGTGAAGGAAGAGAAGGAGGAAGGGGCAATCCTAGTTGTGAGTTTGTTTCTCCCCTGGAGACATTTTAAAGAAGAACTTGACTTATCTGGGCCTCAGTTTCCCCACTGGTATAACAGGGAGGTGTCCAGGCATAGTAGGGAGGAACGGGGGTGTTTGCAGAGCCAGGGGAAAGCCAGTGTCCCTGTGAAACCTAGCAACCCAGTGAGCCAACCCTGGAATGGTTTGTGGGACGGCAGGAGGAGGGTTGAGAGGGGCAGGTGAGAAAATGGGCTGAACCCAAGCCTGGTGCTTGGCTGCACCTGCCCTTGAAATCAGGAATGTTGCGTGTCAGGAAGAGAAAAGTGGGACTCAAGAGCCCTGGGCCAGGCTGGAAAGGCTCCCGGAGGGTGCTGAGCTCACAGCCTAGACCCTCCAATCAATAGGGCATGGCTATTTATAGCATCAGCCTGAGAGAAACTTAATTATGATCAAAAGGAGCTATTTAATACCGTGCTTGCCGAAGACGCAACCTCTTGTCAGTGGAAATTAATCAGTGGCTGCTGCGGGCTCCTGCCCCCTCGGGCTCCTGCCCCCTTGGGCTCCGGAACTGGGGAGGCGCCTGGCAGGAGTGATGATGACGTTGGCGCCTCACAAAGTCATCTAACAAGCAGTGGACTCCCCAGGGCTCCAGACACCCAGGGGTGAAGGAGGAAACGTGGGGTGGCCTGGGGGTCACGGCTCTGCTCTCGTCCTGGTTCTGCTCTTGTCCTGGCTCTCTCGCACGACACTGCCCACTGCTCCGGCCCGCACCTCCCAGCTCTGTCCACTCTGGCAACATCTGCAACCCACCCAACACATGAGATGCTCTGGCTGAGATTCCGTAAGCCACTTCCTAGCTGGGTGGCTTTAAGCTTCAGTGTTCTCATCTGTAGATTTAGAGATGAGAATAGCACCTTCCTGGTAGGGTGGCGGATGAGGGTGAAAATGAGTTTCCACATGGTCACCAGAACTGTGCCCACCACATCATAAAATCAATAAAGCATCAATCACTACTGGTGGCTGTGGCTCCCACCACTACCACAGCTACCTGGGTGTCAGTTTGCCCCCCAGCCAGATCATGGCGTCTCAAGGGCAGGAATGGTGCCCTCCTGCTTGACTTGCCCCCCCCACCCCAGTGCCTAGTGCAGTGCTGGCATGCTGAGCACGTTTAATAAGTATTGCTGGCTTAATCTATTTGATTCCAAAGTAAAGGAGTTTATTATCTTATTAATATATTTGTTAATTTATTCTGAAAACCATTATTGAGTGCTCACGTGTCAGGTCTCATACCAGACATGGAAGAGAGGAAAATCATTAATCACAGATGGCCCTTGTTCTGAGCTGCTTGGTGCCTGGTGAGCAAGACGCACGTGCAACTGGATCTTTATGATGCGGCGTGAGAACAGTAAGAGAAGTGTGGCCAAGATCCAGCAGAGGCACAGATGAGGGAGTGACTGACTCTTCTGGGGATACCATGGGGGGACATCTTGAAATATTTGGTCTATAGGGTGGACTTGAAAGATAACTGTAGGAAAGGAAGGGCATATAGAGGCAGAGGGAAGAGTATGTGCAAAGAAAAGACCCAGAATCGTGAAAGTTAGCATTTAGATAATTCTAGGAAATCTTGGCCTGAACCTAAGAAAGACCCTCCGAGGTCAGCAGCAGGTGTGTCTGTCTAGATTGTCATCAAAGGCAGAAAGGGCGGGTATTCAGCGAAGAGACAGGAAGAGGAAGCCCATGTCACACTCTATATAAGTGCTTTGGTTCCAAGGACATAGACCAGTTTCCTCCCTGAGGGTCTTCTCACAATAGACTTCAGTTACAGAGATTGGCGCTTCCAGGAGGACCAACTCTGAAAGGAGTGGTTAGAGCATGGGCCCTGGAGGCAGCCTGCGGGGCTTGGATCCCAGCGCTGGTACTTAGGAGAACCAAAGAGTACCACTCTTGGAGTAACCCAAGAGTGACTTTGTCTCCCACCGTCCCTGTGAATTCACTTGGCAGAGCCATTTATGATGCTCTGGAAGAGATCGGAGCTGTGTCCTGTGACTCTTCAGGTCACTCTTAGCACCTAATTCCGTGTGTCCAACTCAGTCATCAACTCCAATGAAGTGAGAGACGCCTCCCGTTCCTTGGCTCTTCCTGTTGCAGGTGGAAATGGGAGATGGGGTGCAGTTGCCTCCTCTCCCCTCTGTGTCGAGGTCCCTGTAGGAAGCAGATGCCTCATATAAACTGGGCGCTTGAAGGGAGGATCATAAAAGGACTATTTAAAAAGGCGAGACTCTCAGGCCTGTAGGAGCCTCAGGAAGGAGAATTTACTAGAACCAAGGGAAGGCAGCCATACAGATGGGCCACCTGAAGGGGGTACCACCTTCAGGAGAGGGACTCGGGAACCCATGGTGACCTGGCATGGAGGGAGCAGAGGCAATACTTCTTCGTAACCCACATGCTTCCTGGGGGTGGAGGGGGGGCAGGGGTGGAGAGCAGGTCTGGAGGGGCAGGGGAACACCCTCAGTGAGGCCATCCTCTTCTCCCACGTTGCTAACTGGAGTTGCCCCAGGTTGGAATGGAGGCAGGGGATGGGAGGAGAGCAGGGCACGGAAGTTCTTGCTTGAGTGACGGTCAGGGCTCTGACCAGGCTCTCTGGGCCTGGCCCATGTGTAAAGCCGACCTCTCCCCTGGGGAGGGGAGTTCTTCAGAGATCCTTGCCCCCACACAATCACTAGAAAGCAGTTGCCTCTTCCTGGGTGGACGCTCAGCTCCCTCCTCAGTCCCCAAGTGTGGGACAGGCTGTCCACTTCCTTCTGGGACCACCGCCCATCCCACAGCCTTTCAGTTGGGTTCTCCCAGGTGTGGTTCAAGTCAGCTTCACCTTGGCCTGGACACCGGAGAGAGTCCTCCTTCGCCCTGTGGCCTGAGCTGCTGTGAGCTCATCATTCATGCCATTGTGAATCAGACACCAGTTTTCTGTGTCCCCCAAAGGCAGAAGACCCATGTTAAATTCTCTGAGAGGTTTCCTTCAGGCCCTTCACTCTTGGCTGACACATAGTAAACCAGTGACTCTCTTTAATGGTCTTCTTCCAATTTCTGTTAACCCCCTTTTTTTTTTTTTTTTTTTGGTTTTCTCCAACCCCACCGACGGGCTGGGGTGGGCAGACAGCTCGGATTCCCCCAGGAGGCCTCACCCCTCACTGGAGGATGTGGTAGCTATTGATGTACAGACTTGTCTGTGTCTCAAATTCAGGAAGTCCGACATCCAGTTACACCAGCTTCGTGACAATGAGTAAATTGCTTCATCTCTCTGTGTCTTGGTTCCCTTGTCTGTGCACCGGGATCATGGTTAGCTGTTAGATTTTGGGAGGATTTCGTGAGTTTGTTCAGATAAAACATTTAGAATAATGCTGAGAATTTACTGAGTTCAGTGTAATGCTGTTGATATTAGTCTTCTTTTTCATCTGCTTCGGAGATGGTTTATGGGGGAAGTCTCCTCTTGCAGAAGAAGAGGTAAGGAAGGGAACCAGAGACACCTACTTCCCTCTCTCTGGCTTTTAAAGCCTGGTGGGGGTGAGTAGGAGGCACTGGGCTCGTGTGTCCAGAGGAGCAAAGTGCAGAAGCTTCTGGGTTCTCTCATATTTAGCATTGAGCCCAACCTGAGTTTCGGTCCAGCCTTCAGTATCTCCCTTGCAGTGGACGTGTGAATAGAGAGGACAAGAGCTGTTCCCACCCGTTCCAGCCACCTTGGATGTGAGGGAGAGGACAGGCAGAGGTATCAGCCAAGTCCTGGAAGTTTTTTTCCTCTTATTGAGCTGCAAGCTGTGATGAAAAATGATGACCTTTGAGCGGAGCTGCCCAGGCCCCCAGGGTCCTCCGCACCAGCTTCAGGGTCCTTCTCCCTTCCTTAGACCCTCCATGGGAAGGTGAGGTGGTGGGAGGGTACAGTTGTGTGGAAGAGGCCTCTGGTCAGTCCCACCCTGCCCTGCAAGGGTGGGTGGGGGTGTGTGAGGATCTTTTTGAGAGCAAAGCCCAATCCCCATGCACGGCCAGCGCCACCTCTGAAGGGACTGCAGGAGCAGCCTTGACCTAGTCCAGGCCAAGAGCCCTTCTCACCTCACTGGGTGACTCGGGCGCCCTGAGGCAGCCTCCAGAGGCTT